TCTCTCTTTTAGAGAGAGAGGGGGGGGGCCCCCCTGCTGCTGCTGCTGCTGCCTGCATGTAAGAGAGACAGATATCTGCCCCGCTAGCAAAGCTGCAGGGAGCGGCACGAGGAGACGCATCGTCATCCTCTTTATCAGCAGCAGCAGCAGCAGCAGCAGCAGCAGGAGAATCAGTAGCTGCTGCTGCTGCAGCAGCAGCAGCAGCAGCAGATTGGGGGGCATCAGCGGGGGCCCCGGGGGCCCCTGATGAAGACCCACAGCAAAGAGTAAATCGAGGCTCATCGTTTCCCTCAACTAACATGCTGCTGCTGCTGCTGCTGCTGCTGCTGTTGCTGCTGCTGCTGCTGCTGCTGCTGCTGCGCTGCACCCACCGCTGCTGCAGCAGCTGCTTGATAGACTGCTGCACGAGGCCCTCGGAGCAGCACAGCTCCGCAGCAATTTCCTTATAGGTCATACCCTGCTGCTGCTGCTGCTGCTGCTGCTGCTGCTGCTGTTGCTGCTGCTGCTGCTGCTGCTCCTGTTCTTGATCCCCTTCAACATGCATGGACTCACTGCAGGACTGCTGCTGCTGCTGCTGTTCTTGCTGCTGCTCTTGCTGCTGCTGCTGCTGCTGCTGTTGCTGCTGCAGCACGAGGAGAACTGCTGCATGCGCGAGGGGTACCCATACGGGGGGCCCCCCTCGGGGGCCCCTGAGCCTAACCTTGGAGAGAGGGTGTCGAGGCTCCAGTACCCAAAGAGCAGCAGCAGCAGCAAAAGCGTTGCAGCTGCTGCTGACGGCAGCAGCAAGAGGGGGGGGGAGCCTCCCTATCTGCTGCTGCTCGTCTCTCTCCATGGGTACGTGCTGCTCCGGCCAGTACCCTCTCGATACTGCAGCAACAGATAGTTCAATCTCCTCCTGCTGCTGCTGCTGCTGCTGCTGCTCCTGCTGCTGCTGCTGCTGCTGCTGCTGCTGCTGCTGCTGCTGCTGCTGCTGCTGCGGAGGCAGCAAACTGCGGGGAGGAGAGGGCGCCGCCTCCACCTGAGAGGGCAGCCAAAGAGAAGCTTGTGAAGCAGCAGGCAAGTCCTCACACTCCTGCTGCTGCTGCTGCTGCTGCTGCTCCCTGCTGCTGCTGCTGCTGCTGCTGCTGCTGCTGCTGCTGCTGGTGGTTTTGTGCAGCAGCTCAGTAGCAGCAAAGCTGCGCGCTGCATCCTGCAGCATAACGAGAGCGTTCGTCAGTCGGTTCTCTTTTAGGTGTCGAAGCAAAAACAAAATAGATGAATGCCACACACGCAGATATTTCAACTCAGGCTTGCTGCTGCTGCTGCTGCTGCTGCTGCTGCTGCTGCTGCTGCTGCTGCTGCTGCTGGTGCTGATGGTGCTGGCGGTTATGCTGCTGCTGTTGCTGCTGAACTCGTCGCAGGAAGAGCTGTCGCTCGATAGGTATTCTACCCCTTCTGTATCCCCAGCAGCAGCGGCAGCAGCAGCAGCAGCAGCAGCAGGAGCTGCAGCACCAGCAGCAGCAGCAGGTGCAGCAGCAGCTTCTCCCAATAGCAGCTTTGTTGCTGTTGCATGCAACGCATCGCAGCAGCAGCAGAACCCGCACGCAGTTGCTGCTCCCCTTCCCGTTGAGCAGCAGCACGTCCACTTGCTGCTGCTGCTGCTGCTGCTGCTGCTGCTGCTGCTGCTGCTGCTGCTGCTGCTGCTGCTGCTGCTGGTAAAATCAGCAGCAGCAGCAGCAGCATGCATCGGCCTTCGTCTCTTCATATACAATCGAGAGAGGGAGAAGAGGGGGCCCCCTAGGAGGCCCCCTAACAGCCGTGGGGGCCCCTCGGGGGGCCCCTCTCTCGGGGGGCCCCCAGGGGGGCCCCCCAGGGGGGGCCCCCTGGGGGCCCCCCCCTTTGGGGGGCCCCCCGGGGGCCCCCGCTTGCTGCGCTTTGCTTCTGCTGCTTTTGCTTTTGCATACCATAGAGGGCTGAAGAGGGTATCAGCTAGCTGCTGCTCGAATGCTGCAGCTAGCTGCTGCGGGCGGCCTCCTGCTGCTGCTACTAGGAAGCGCAGCAGCAAAGCCTCAGCAGCAGCAGCATCTGGGCCGCATGCAGCAGCAGCAGCAGCTGCTGCTGCTGCTGCTGCTGATGAAACTGTTGAGATTCGGGAAGAACCCCATGCGGTGCAGCAGCAAGGAAGATACACTGCATTGCTGCTGCTGCTTTTGCTGTTGCTGCTGCTGCTCTTGCTGCTGCAGCACCAGCTACTGCTGCTACTGCTGCTGCTGCTGCTGCTGGTTTTGCTGCTGCTGCTGCTGCGGAGGAGTCTGCAGTTGCGTCGCGCCGCTGGGAGCAAAAGGCATAGATGTTTTTGTGCTTGCTGCTGCTGCTGCTGCAGCAGCAGCAGCAGCGGCTGCAGAATGTATAAGCAGCTCGACTCTGTCTCCCCCAAATAAGATAAAACAAAAAGGCACTGCAGCGCGAAAGAAGCAGCAGCAGCAACGTCCATGTCTTTGCTGCTCTCTGCTTCTATGTGCTGCTTCAGCAGGGCCCCAGCTCGAGTGCATGCAGCAGCAGNATGTCTTTGCTGCTCTCTGCTTCTATGTGCTGCTTCAGCAGGGCCCCAGCTCGAGTGCATGCAGCAGCAGAAGCAGCAGCAGCAGCAGCAGCAGCAGGAGTTGTTGTTGCTGCTGCTGCTGCTGCTGGTGGTGGTGCTGGTAGCCATCCACAGACTGCTGCAACTCTTTCCTGCTGCTGCCGCCCGCCTCCTGTTCCTGCTGCTGCTGCTGCTGCTGCTG